TTTTAGTTTTTAAGAGTTCTCTAAATAAAAACATTCCTGGAGGGAAATCAAGCTGATTTTATATATGAGGCATCTTGGTATGAATTTATCATATCATATGATCTTTCCAACATGGTTTTAGCTGAGTGCTGGGTCGAATAGGACACACTGTAGAGAAGCAGAGAAAAGGTTGGGTCATAGGACAATACAGATGGGCAAGGTATGGATGAGACTATAAAGGGATACCCACACAGCCTCAGGCAGAATGAGGGTACTGTTTCCTGAAACTGTGACACTCTGCTCATGTTACACACTGATTTATAGCCAGTCCTGGCAGTAGAAGCAGTGGAAACAATGGGATCCAACCATTTGTGCTTTTTGGACTGCCTTTATCACTTAGCCATGACCTTCCAATTGGGCAACACTGAACACTTTTCCAGAATGTTTGGTGTTGACCAGACTCTTTAATGTCTTTTTGAAAGACACTGAATTTAAATTACATTCTGATTTATCCAGTATTTATTCAGCATCTAAAAGGAATGATGTTGATTATTTAGAACAAGGGATGGCTTTAGGATTTTTCATTTAAAAGATTTTGTTCTGTCCTAATAATGGATTTGTTGTCACAACCCCTATTTTTAATGTTATTTTTAGCAAACTATTCCATTTAGTGGGATTTAAAAAAATACTCTATTTGAAGACCAATTGGTTCTAGCCAATTCCTCAAAATTACGGTGTTTAACATTATCAACCTATTTAGAGCAGAAAGAATCTATAAATACTAGTTATCACTTCAGTGCCTGGACTCATTACTGTGGTTCAGTATCTGATCAAGTAAGTCAGGCTTCTGGCCAAGTAATTTATCATCTTCATTTCAGAATTCTAATGTCATAGCTTACACACACAGAGTAATTTCATAAATACTATCAATCACTAAGGCAAACTCTCAAATGGTTTGACCTAATAGCAATAGCTATGTATAGTATGATTTTTAGCTCTGATATAAGGCACTAGAATCAATTACACATAAATAAAAATGAATATGGCTCCCCATTGCCTGATGCATAAAATCTAATGACTACCAAAATCTACCAAAGTCTTAATCTACTTTTCTACACTTGGCTATTATCCCTTTTGCACTTTATATTCTAGCTAAATGAGTTTTATCTCCACTCTGAAAATGCACCATGAATTTTCTATTACAATGTTACACTTTTTTTTTAAAGATTTTATTTATTTTTGTGAGAGAGAGAGAACGAGCAGGGGGAGGGGCTGAGGGAGAGGGAGAAGCAGACTTCCTGCCAGCAGGGAGTCTGTTGCAGGGGCTCGATCCCAGGACCCTGGGATCATGACCTGAGCCAAAGGCAGACGCTTAACGACTAAGCCACCCAGGCACCCCTCCACGTTACTCTTTATGCTATTCCGTGTCCTAAAAATGACTGCTTTCATCATCTTTGTAATGCAAAATTTCTATCTAAATTCTAGATCTTGATTAAAATTTGACTTCTGCCATGGAGACTTCTATGATGCAACAGCATCTTGTTAGTACCCTTTTTACCCAGGGTCCTGGGATCGAGCCCCTGCAAGAGGCTCCCTGCTGGTGGGAAGTCTGCTTCTCCCTCTCCCTCATGGGTCACTTTCTTCCTTGTATTATTTTAGTACAAGTTTATTAAGAAAGCAATTATGTCACATATTGTTGTGTATCTTCAGCACCTATCATAGTTTCCCAGAAAATGTTTGTTGATTTTTTAACAGATTATTCAAAAATTGAAAATTTAAATATAAATTTAAAAATATTTTATCTGTAGTTTTGATGCATTTAGTTTATAAGCAGAATTTTTTTTTTAAGATTTTATTTATTTATTTATTTTATTTATAGAGAGAGAGAGCGAGAGCAGGAACACAAGCAGGGGGAGTGGGAGAGGGAGAAGCAGGCTTCCCACTGAGCAGGGAGCCTGACGTGGGGCTTGATCCCAGGACCCTGGGATCATGACCTGAGCTAAAGGCAGACACTTAATGACTGAGCCACCCAGGCGCCCCTATAAGCAGAATTTTTAATGAAGGGAAAGCACCTATGTAGTTTAAAAACCGTAATAGTTTAGTTAAGGTTAAAGGCACTATTTACTTGACACAATAAATTAGAAATGTTTATTTTCATAAAAGAAAATTCCTTTTGTTGATAATTTTTATATTTCCTCTTATTGGAAAAATTTCCAATATCCTATTAATGTTAAATCTAGTATAATTGCCAAGTTGGTTAATACTCAATCCATCTGCAAAACATGAGGAGCTCACCAAATGGCTTCTTTTTTTTTTTTTTTTTAAAGATTTTATTTATGTATTTGACACAGAGAGAGCACAAGCAAGGAGAGCGGCAGGCAGAGGGAGAGGGAGAAGCAGACTCCCTGCTAAGCAGGGAGCCGGATGCGGGGCTCGATCCCAGGACTCTGGGATCATGACCTGAGCCGAAGGCAGTGGCTTAACCAACTGAGCCACCCAGACACCCCTCACCAAATGTCTTCTAAGGTAATGTTCAGTTCTAAAAATTTTTATACTAGTATTCCATAATTTCAGTTTGTTTTACATACAGCTGCATTAAAATATGTGCTCAAGAAAGCAAGGGCCTTTGCGGGCATATTACCTGCTATATCTCCCACGCCCAGCATATCTTACATTCTAGTAAATATTTGTTGAATGAATGAGTTTGTCTTCCCTCCCCCAGAAGTTTACATATTATGGAAATTCCACTCAATACATTTTTTTGTGAAGCACCGATCATGAGCAGAACATTGTGCTAGGCCCTGGACCTCTATTAACCTTCTCACAATCTATTTGGAAAGGTCTGTCAACAAATTAAATATGAACACAGCTGTGAAAGGAGTTAAAAATAAGATAATATGGAAAAGGCAATACAAAAGGATAAGAAAGCAACTAATTTGGCCTATTATGAACTTTATTAAATAGAGAATGGGTGGGGGCGCCTAGGTGGCTCAGTCAGTTAAGCAGCTGCCTTCGGCTCAGGTCATGATCCTAGAATCCTGGGATCGAGTCCACATAGGGCTTACTGCTCAGCAGGGAGTCTGCTTCTCCCTCTCCCTCTGCCTCTACCCCTTCTTATGCTCTTTCTCTCACCTGCTCGCTCTCTCAAATAAATAAATAAAAAATCTTAAAAAAAATAGAGAATGGGAGTTATTAACAGTTTTTTTCTTTTTCTCCTCTCTTTGCTCCATTCTTCCTTTTTCTTCCCTCCTCCTTTCTCTGTCATCGTCCTTCTTAGGAGAAATGTAGTACTTTATTTATAGATTATAATTCTCATGGTACCAAGGAATAGGAAATATAGAAATGAATATACTTCCAGTATTTTTCTCCAATTCCTCAGTAAAAGATTGACCTTACCAAATTTGAAAGTTATATGCCATTATTCAAGTTTCTAATAGAAGTTTGTTTATATGCAGCTCTCTGGGATAAGCCTTGGTATAAAAACAAACAAACAACAACAAAAAAAACACCTAAAAATGGATCTGAACCCAGATCCAAGATGAGTTATATTTCTCTTTTCTTAAATATTAATGATCTCTGAAAATTGAATAATCTACTTTTTCTGTTTACTAGTGCTGGATATCCCTGAGAAAAGAGATAATGAAAACTTGGAAAAAGAAGAAGAGGTTGAAAGTTTTCATGGATACAGTCTCTTAAATGCTGTTTGTCAATAAAATAACATCCTCATTATATCTATTATTTTAGTAGTGTAACATATATACTTACAATATATAGTTAGCAAATTAGGGCAATCCCTTCCTTAAATTGTAATTCTAATGAAAAGGAAAACCATATATTCATATTTGAGTTCCAGAAAACAGACTGTTTTCAAGAAACAATGTAAATTTCATCATAAAGAAATGTTTTAACTTGTACTTTTAAGCTATTACAGAGAGAGGCAAAATCCGATATGTGCAGGGAAGACAAATTCCAGGGCAAGAGAAAAAACAGGCAAAGATAGCTATATACTCAATATACAATTATTTCAATTGTTTAAGATGAAGCAATAGAAGTTCTTTTGTCCCATTTAAAAGCAACAAAAAACACATTCTTCTCAAGTGCACATGGAACATTTTCCAAGATGGATCATATGTTAGGCCACAAAACAAGTCTTAATAAGTTTAAGAGGATTGAAATAATATCAAATACCTTTTCTAACCACAATGATATGAGACTAGAAATTAATTACCTAAAGAAAACAGGAAAATTCACAAATATGTGCAGATTAAAACAACATGCTACCAAACAACCAATGGGTCAAAGAATAAATAAAAAAATACCTTGAGACAAACGAAAATAGAAATGTAACATACCAACATTTATAGAACACAGCAAAAGCAGTTCTAGAAGGGAGTTCATAGCAATAAATGCCTACCTCAAAAAACAAGAAAAGTCTTAAATAAACAACTTAAGTGCTCTAATTATCCAGAAGGAACAACAACAACAACAAAGAACAAAAGAAGCCCCAAATTAATAAGAAGTAAGGAAGTAACAAAGAGAAAAAATAAATGAATAAAGACTAAACAAATAATAGAAAAGATCAATGAAACTAAGAGCTGGTTCTTTGTAAAGATAAACAAAATTGACAAACCTTTAGCTAAGCTCACCAAGGAAAAAAGAGAAAGGACTCAAATAAAATAAAATCAGAAATGAAAGAGAAGATGTTACAACTGATAGCACAGTTATGCAAAGTATCATAACAGACTACAATAAATGTATGTATGCTCACAAACTTAACAACCTAGAAGAAATGGATACATTTCCAGAAAAATATACCTAGCAAGATTGATCATGATGAAATAGAAAATTTGAACAGATCAATTACTAGTAAGGAGATTGTATCAGTAATCAAAAACCTCCCAACAAACAAAAGCTTTATTGGTGAATTCTACCAAACCTTCAAAAAAGAATACCAATCCTCAAACTCTTCCAGAAAATAGTTGAGGAGGGAACTCTTCCAAACTCATTTTACAAGGCCAGCATTACCCTGATACCAAAACCAAACAAGGATACCATAACAAAAGAAAATTACAGGCCAATATTCTTGATGAACACAGATATAAAATCTTCTACAAAATATTAGCAAATTGAATCCAACGATATGTTAAAAGAATCATACACCATGATCAAGTAGATGTATTCCAGGGATGCAAGGATGGATAAACATCCACAAATCAGTCAATGTGATATACCACATTAACAAAATGAAGGATAAAAAAAATCATATGATCTGAATAGATGCAGAAAAAGCATTTGACAAAATTCAATGTCCATTTATGATAAAGACTCTCAACAAAGCAGGTATAAGGGAATGTACCTGAACATAATAAACACCATTTATGACAAGCCCACAAGTAATACCATACTCAATAATGAAAAGTTGAGAGCTTTTCCTCTAAGTTCAGGAACAAAACAGGATGCTTACTCTTGCTGCTTTATTCAGCACAGTACTGGACGTCCTAGTCAGAGCTATTAGCCAAGAAAAAGAAATAAAAGGCTTTCAAAATGGCAAAGAAGAAGAAATGCTGTCACTATTTGCAAATGACATATTATTTACAGAAAATGCTAAGGACTCCATCAAAAAATATTAGAATAAATTAGAATAAATTAGAATAAATTAATTCAGTCAAGTTGCAAAATACAGAGTGTTAAACACCAAATTCTGTTAATGAACTATTCTGATATTGAACTATTGAAAAGGGAAATTAAGAAAAAATCCATTTACAATTGCATCAAGAAGAATAAAATACCTAGGAATAAATTTAACCAAGGAGGCAAAAGATCTGTATATTGAAAACTATGTGACATTAATGAAATAAATTGAAAAGATACAAATAAATGGAAAGATATTCCATGCTCATGGATTCAAAGAATATTGTTAAAATGCCCGTACTACCCAAAGCAATATATGAATTCAATGCAATCCCTATCAAAATTCCAATAGCATTTTTCATAGAAATAGAACAAACAATCCTAAAATTTGTGTAGAACCATAAAAGATCCCAAATAGCTAAGGCAAATTTGATAAAGAACAAACTGGAGGCCTCACACTCCCAGACTTCAAACTATATTACAAAGCTATAGTAATTAAAAAAGTATGGTATTAGCATAACAACTGATACATAGATCAACAGAACAGAATAGAGAGCCCAGAAAAAACCTTACCCATACATGGTCAATTAATTTATGATAAAAAAAGAAAGAATATACAATGGGGAAAGGACAATATCTTCAATAAATGGTGTTGGCAAAATGGGCAGCCACATACATTAGATGAAATTGAACCATTATCTCCCATCATACACAAAAATGAACTCAAATGAATTAGACTTGAACATAAGACATGACACCATAAAACCTCTAGAAAGAAATATAGGTGGTAACCTTCTTGACAGAGGTCTTAGCAGTGATATTTGAATCTGAGATCAAAAGCACAAACAACAAAAGGAAAAATAAACTAGTGGGACTATATCAAATTAGAAAGCTTCTGCAAAGCTTTCTATTGGATATAGTCTGAACAAAGAGGTTTCATTTTTTTTTTTAAAGATTTTATTTATTTATTTGACAGAGAGACACACAGCGAGAGAGGGAACACAAGCAGGGGAGTGTGGGAGAGGGAGAAACAGGCTTCCCGTGGAGCAGGGAGCCCGATGCGGGGCTTGATCCCAGGACCCTGGGATCATGACCTGAGCCAGAGGCAGACGCTTAACGACTAAGCCACCCAGGCGCCCATGAGGTTTCATTTTTGATATTAAATAGGGCAGGAATTCCTCAAGTATCCACTTGAAGAACAGGATCAAATGACTTTGGGAAAGTACAGTTTTATTTTTAGTATTTTAATGTTTAGTGAATTTAGTGAATTTGAGCAACTTTTCTGCTTTTCAGTATTTTGCTTTGAATACTTTTGGTGGAGGGAGGTGGTTGGACATGACAAGGCATGTATATTTACATTTTTTGTTTGGTCTCATAGGAGTTATATTCTTTAATGTTCCAGTTTTTTTTTTTTTTTTAAGATTCTCATTATAACTTTATATAAGCTTTATTACAGCTTTTTAAAACACATTTGGAAATTTCAGAAAATATAAAATAGCTTGGAAAGGCTGGGAAAATATTGGAGTCTACTGATCCACTTGGCATTCTGGCTAGGTAGTTCCTGAGGGGAAAGAAAAGAAAATAAACAGTTACCAAACATTAAGGCCCACTAAAGCAGCAGGGGTGCACAATTCTGGGCAACTTTCCAGTATAGAAAGGATTGCCTGGGTTGTCTTTTCAGTCACATTCAGAATCACAAATACCATCTTTACATGTGAACACTGACAGCAACAAAACATTCTATTGTGGCTTGAAGGATTGAGAAAGTCTCATAAAGGAAAAAAATTTGGGGGTGGGTCCATGAGCAATGAGTTAAATTGCCTTAGAAGGGGATAATACAGACATTGGGAATACCAGGAATGGAGTATTTTCACCAAAAGCAGCCTATTTTTTACCCAATTTCGTATCTAAGAACTATATGTATTTTAGAAAAAAATAATGTACTGAGAATGTACATTTTGCGGTTAGAACCAATGGTTCTCAAATTTTAGCATTTATCAAAATCGCCTGGAGGATTTGTTAAATTGGGGTAGGACACCATGAATTTGTACCTCTAGTAAGTTCCCTTATGATTTTATGCCTCTGATCACAGACCACATTTTGAGAGCCACTGGTTTAAACAAAGTCTTTTTCATTTTTCTCTAGAGACTAGCTACTTTAATGCTGTCATAGAGCTCTTATCCTCAATTTTGACTATAATGTTGCTTAATATGTGAAGTAATCATAAGTGGAATTCCATAAAAGTGGAATACAATTCCAGGGAGAGATCTTATAATTAAAAAAAAGTGCTAATGGCTATAGACAAAGGTTGGACATTAGGAGATTCCATCTGTCAGCTCAAAGACTGCTTTGTATTTCCTCAGTTTGTAAACTACATAGATATTACTTCTCTGGAATGTAGGGTCTTAAGCTTCCTCCTTCATTTTCAAATTCCAGTTCTACTTTAGAAAACATTATCCTCTTCCCAACAAACTACATTTATGTTTCTTAAAATCAGTAAGGAAGTGTTAATATGTTTTGTTTTTCAAACAGAGAAAAAGAAGCACCATGAAACTAAACCTCTTTAGAGAGCAAATATTTGTTTTTATTGTTTTTTTTGGGGGGGGGGGCAGGAGGTGATGCATTTGTAACTATACTGAAAATAGTACAAGGAAATAAAATTGTAGAACAAAACAGTTCCATATTTAGTAGGATTTAGTTCTGGGTTTTCCCCAGACACTGCAGGTCAAATGAAAGATATAAGCAAATTTTTTCAGGCCTCACAGGACAGACTTGGCACTATAAACCAAAACCAAGGCCTATTATGCAACACAGGTATTTGCAAATAACTAGATGATTTATTAATCTGGGCAACAAGGGAGACCTCAAATTCTGAAACTCTGCCATGCCTGTGGGAAATGTGAACTCCTAGGATGGTGACAGTAGTTTGTATGCTGAGTTAGATTTAATTTAATAAACATTTGTTGAATGTCTTATGCATTCAAGTAACAGAACATTTCTGACAATATAAGGTTCCTGCCTACCCAGTACTCTGTATTCACAAGTATTCACTTTGGGTATTTTCTGCTTCAAGTTAAAATTGGAACAACCTGGTTTGGAGAATTAAGTTATAGCAAGTGTTACTTTTCTGTTGCAAGACCAGACTTGCTGCAACAGTAGACCAAGACCTCCAGAATAAATTGTCTTTGGGTTATCTAAATTAATCCCAGGCTAAATAAATCTCTAAATAATTCTACATGATGGAATAATTTAAAATTTAAATTACCCATTTAACAAATGCAGAGTACCAACATTGAAGCAGATTTTGTACTAGTCACTGGAAAGCAATAGTGAACACAGTGGGCATATGCCCAGACTCTGTGGATTATAAATTAGTAGGAAGACACACATTCACCAGAAGTAAATTATATATGAAACGTGCTAAACAGAGGCATAATCAGAAATGATCTGAATGGTGGAGATGGGGGGGGGGGCACCATGAGACGTGTGCACCACAAAAAGATGTATTGATGGCTTATTTGCTGTTCAACTACTCACCCACAAGAATAGCACTTAGTCCTGTTTATTAACAAAGTACTTACTAGTAGTCTTATTAAAAATAACCTGTGGTCAACTTTAATAGAGTGAATTAGAGAAAAAAGGTCTGCAACTCCCGAAAAATTCCTACAGCAGAATGGAGAAAACAAATACCCATGTGGAGGAAAAAGCAGGGGAAAGGCAGTAGCAGTTGTTTAAAGATTTTAACTATTTTCCTAACTTAATCATTCCTACTTAATTTGCTTATGGTAAGATATTTTCATGTGCTAAAATTTCTGCTTGGAATAGCAGAAAGCTAATCCTGTAAAACCGTTATATGATCCCACCGCAGTTAGAGAAGTGCCCTGGAACCAGGCCAAGGGCCAAAAAATCTGTGACCAAGGGCTCTAATCCAGAAGGCAAGTGAATAGAGATTTTGCAGTTAGGAGCAAAATGTACACTGTATTTGCATTCTTATTAAATAAAAAAAAGTTCATTAAAATCACACAAAGTTGTTGGATTGCTGGCAGACCACCTTAGCAGCAACTTTCCTCGTTTGCAAAGTTCCTACTTCGCGATTTCAGCTTTGACCTTGACTGCATGTTCTTCTTTTATGAATATATTATCTAACCACTTTTGCACACAATCAGCTATGGTGGGAAATAGTAACCTGGGCATCAAAGATGTTTTAAGTCTAATTTACCATAGGTTACCTTTAAAGGTAGGTAGCCTACAACCACTAACACGTCTGAAAATCAAAACCGAATAGAATTCAAACAAAGCAAACCTACTAGTGGGCTGGAGTGGCACACACTCTGAAAGATTTGAGTAAGAAAGTAGAACACTGGCACAAAAATTACCGTACTTACGAGAAGACATACTGCATTTTAGGCATGCTAAAACCCCACTGAAAAGTGTGACTATCTTGTTTACTGCCTAGGTTCGTGGGGCAACATTTTCTCAGCTCTTCAGACCCTGGTCTCCTTTCCCTTCCTCAATTTGCTAATCCCCCTCTCAAAACCCTTTCTCTCTGGTAATGGGCTATGGGATGCTTAGGCAAGCCGCGAGAAACTTGCTTGGCACACATCTTCACCGGTTCTAGGTACTCAATTTGTTGAGTATTGAACGCATGTTAGTTACGGTAACAGGATCAACTCCCGAGCCAGGGCGAGAACGCAGGGAAATGCGAGGGCTCAGACGGCGGAAGCGTTAACACCGGGAGATGGGGAAACTTCTAGATGCTAAGCGGACACTTTACAGTGGCACAATCTTGTGAAAAACGGTTGTTGGCTCTTCAGATAAATTGGTGAGCACTTTCCACAAAAGTCTCTGTATAGTTACCCCGCGGGGAAGCACCCTCGAAGATGCTCCGACACCTAGACGGCCTGTTCCAAATCACCGCGGAACAGAACGGCCTCCTCGGGGTGAGACCTCCACCCTCAAATCCATCTCCGCCACCGGTGACCGCCTCTCAGCAGCTATTCTGTCCCTCAGCGTCCTAAAGCGGGGAAGGGGGCGGGGAGGTTGAGGCCCTGTTCTCGCGGGATCTCTCCCAACAGGGTCCGTCCCCAGGTATCCTCAAGACCTCGCGTTGTTTGGGTGTGCGGGCGGAGCGATCCCTGTGTGGGGCGGAGCCGGATGGGGGCGTCCCCCAAGTCTTGTTGACTCCGGCGTCCTCCCAGAGCGGTCCTTGCGCCTGCTGTCTTCTGCGCATGCCCAGGTTCCCGACGACTCCCGAGGCCGCGACTGTCGGGCTTCCCCAGCCGCGGGTCCGGGCCCCGCCCTCCTCCAGGCAGCGGCGGCGGCGGCGGCGGCGGTGCTGGCGGCTGTGTTGTTCTGGCGGTGGGGGCGGAGGGCTGCCGTGCAGCCCGCCAAGTCCTAGTGCCTGACCGTGCGCGTCGCTGCGGCGGGCCGGACGGACAGCCTCGCCGCAGGTAACGCCGCTGCCTGTGGACTCGGGGTCGTGCGGGTTGGCGTGTCTCGCGTGCTGGGGTCAGGCTGGGGGGTTCGGGGAGGTCGGGAGCTGGGGAGTGGAGAGAGGCTGGGGATTTTGAAGAGGGCCGTGAGGTTGGGGGCCGGGGTCCGAAGGGCTAAGGGGCTGGGAGTGGAGGGTGGTCGAGGGACTCTGGAGGGGCGAAGGTATGGGAGGTCGGGGCGGACGGTCCTTGGTCTCTGACTTGGGTTGGGGTCCAGGACTCCCCGACGCTGCGGTCCGAAGACACCCACGGGCCCCTTAGGGCCTTTTCAGTTCCACCCCGTGACTTTCTGTTGTTGTTTTGATTTTGAAGGAAGAGAATCCAGCCTACGTAGGCTCGGGGAAGCCTTGGGGGTTGAGGCTGGGAAGGGATTTACGAGGCTAGAGCAGGCGCTAACATTTTCTTACTGTTTTTTTTTTTTGTTTGAGCGTTTACTACTGTTTAAGTGTGGTACCCGTCCTTAGGGCATTTCAAGTAGAGAGGACCCACGAGTAGAACCAGCGGGAGTAATTTTGCAAGTCCAAGATTTTTCTTTTTTAACTTCCAGTACTGTGTTTTTGTGTGTCTTCTTTTTTAAAACTGGGAAACTATGTTTTTAAAAATTACACAGTAGAAGAATTTGGATACGGAGGAGAAAGTATAGTTCTACCAATGGGTATTTTCTCCCAGTTTTTTTTTTAATTACAAAAGTACTACGTGCTCTTTAAGAAAAAAATTAAGCAGCTAAACAATGAAGACGTCTGCTCCTTACCCCCCGCCCTCCATTTTTCCTCTCTTACTACCCAGGGTAACTAGTCTACAAGTGTGGTATTTAGCCATTCACGATTTTTCTATTCGTGTAAGTATGTGTTAAAAACAAAATTGGGATCATATATAGTATATACTTTTTATTGGCCAAGGATACTCACAGATATTCATCCATTTTATTACATACCTCATTCTTTTTAAAAGCTACATAAACTGTGTTTTTTTTTATTGCTGAACATTGTCTCTAGTTTTTCTATAATCTTTTATTAAATAGCTTTTAAAAAGGGCTACAAGCTATTATTTTGAAACATAATTTGGCAAAACTTTCAGGTTGTCTAAGGCCAGATGGGGATACTTAGGTATTAGGCAAGTTAAGTAATATGTTTACACAGAGCTTATGGTAGCTTACAGGAGGCTTGGATGACTTCATAAAGCAGCTTACTAAAATAGTTTATTTTTTGTTTTTTGGTAAGTGCATTTTTCAAGTTAAATTTAAGTTCTGTATGGTCAGTTGAAAACAAATTCAGTTCCTTAAACATGAACCTGCTCATGTCGGAAGATAAGGTAAAAGGTAGCCAGTGGCCTAAACCAAACCTCAAAACAGCTAGGAACTAAATATTTTGATAGTGGACCATAGGGAGTAAGCTGTAAGTAAAAGGGTGATATTACACTGCTTACTATTAAGTAAGACAGAAAGCTAGGAAATCCCTATTACATTTTGTATGTTTGTGTGCAGAATAGCTGGAGGCTTTGTTGATCTGATCAGTGTCATATATTTATTAAAAATGTACTATGTGTTCATCTTCTTGCTAGCTTCCAGGGAAAATGTAGAACTGAGTAAGATAATCACAAAGAGGTCTGGTTCTAAGCATATGTATATATATACATATATATATATATATATATATATATAGTCTGAAATCTTAGGTCCAGTTGTGTAATTATTTGGGGAGCCATGTTTAAAAGTAACCACAGTATCTATGGCATTTTAGTTATAGTTGCTGCTAATAATATGCTTTTTCTTATTTATCTCTAACAACATAGGTGGCATTCTCCCCATTCTAAAGATTAATAAACAGAGGCTCTGAAAGATTAATTCAACTGCTCAAGATCTAATCACCTTTTTAGTGGTGGTGACTGCATTAGACTCAGGCTTAAGCTAAGAACCTGGGTTTTCTGCTCTGCCATGCTGCCTTTCATTAATGAAAACTACCTTATAAAATTGTTGATCTTAGGGTTTTTTCCCTCTTTTTTGGCTTGGAGATGTTCCTTACAAAATAGAGACTTGAATATAATCATGCGCTGAAAAATAGTCTAAAGGATAAATAGTATGAAACTGTGGTATTGTTTTAGATGAGGTTTCTGTGCTGTATTATTAAAATACTCCTTGAGCTGGTGCCATTAACCAAGAAGAAGGGGGATTGTGTTAGTCACTCTATTTGATGCCATGGTAAATTTGGATATTACAGTAAACTGTAGCTCTTACAGGCACTTTTATTCCTTACAAACTTGGATGGATAATCTCATTTCATTTAACATTTTTATGAACCCAGTTGCACTCTAGGAAACTAATGTAATAAAAAGAATAAAAAGAGGGCCCTAAAAAGATTAAAGTGTGTTTATTTCATTTTTAGTATTTTGTAGTCTCTTAAAAATACATCATGACAATTTAATAAAGTATAGTTCCTAATATGGTATATTAATCTGTTTTGGGTTCCCAGCATATGTGACAGTTGTGTATTTTAAAGAAATAGGGCAAATGCTGAAGTTAGTAAGTATGATCAGTTGTAATATGTATTTGAGAAGATATCTACATATAGGAAAATATTTGAGCTTTTATTTCTTGGCAATTGTTAAGGATAGTAATTGGATTCATATCTAAATGGCGTATCTGCTCTCGATGATCTCTTGGACAACTTAACATTGAATGTGGGTGGGTTTTATATTTGTGGGATACAAAAATGTTTCCGCACCAGAAAGAAGTCTTTAGAGTATGTTAAGATCTATTGACTTTTCAGCTGTTGAAGGGTGGGGAATCCAACACTGTGTGTGTGTATTTTCAAAAATTAATAAGAGATCTTATTGCTGATGGATAGAAATAGAAAGTTTATTTTGCAGTTTTGCCTGAAAGTCTCTTTTGGGGACCTATATTCATATGTAGCCAAAAATCAAGAAACTATGTAGGTCCTATTAATGATAACAAAAGAAGCATTAGGTAGGATCCAGAGTTTAAAATCTAGTTAGGTTTTAAAAACTAGCTGTTTAAAACAACTACTGTGGAATTGCAGAGAGGACTGTTGTTCCCTGATGGTTCTGTTTCTAGGAAGAAACTAGTTAAGATGAAAGGAAAGCCAAAATAGAAGGGAGAAAACCTGAGAATTGGCTGTCTTAAGTAGAGGGAGAGGGGGTTTCCTCAAATAGTAGATAATCAGAGTCAAATGTGTGGATGGATGTCAAGGAAGATGAGGACTTACACACTTTGAACTTTGAGACACTGGAAAAATATCTAATTATAATTGTGTTAGTTGTGTCCTGCTTGGGGTTGAGTCGGAATAATTAACACTTTTCAGTAACTTGCAGGCTCTTAAAAACCTATAATAATCACATCATCATAAGTCTGTTTATAATCTAAGTTATTATGAGCATCTGAAGAGCCATGGAATATAAAGTTCTAGCAAGGCCTTGTCTTCTCTAACTTGCACAAGCCAGCACCTCAGACTTCTACCTTGTTGTGGCTTTGTTCATTTTCTCATCTCGCTTATATACAACTGTTACTTTAGATTGAGTTTACACTTCTTTTTAGAGTTTTATTTTCTCCTTTCTAGTCCTATGCACACCCATAGTTTCCACTGTTCATTCCCTCCCCTGCTGAAGCTCCAGTTCTGCATCACCAGCCTTATTGTCTTTCCTGGCCTTCAGACTTGCCTTCTGTTGTTCTCCTTGATAAACTCTGTAAGTAACTGTCATTTTGTAATCTTGAATTAAACTGTTTCCTCCGCAATTTAATTCTTCCCTCATTTTCCTGTTTATATTAATGATCTTAACATTCTCTTAGTCATCTAGGCTTAAAATCAAAGGTCACCTTTGATTCGTCACTCTCCCCCTTCTCAGAAATTCTTTGTCATTTTATTGCATTATGGTTCAGGAATCAGGTTCTCCTGCTGCTTTTTCATTTTCCCAGCAACAAAATACTTTTAATCCCTTTGCCTCAACTGCCATTAATAAGACATTCCTAATCTCTGGGTTTTGCCATTCATCATGCATACTGCTATCAAATTAATTGTCCTAAAGATAGTCTTGATCATATTTTCCCTGCCTGACAGAAGCAAACAGAACAAAAAACCGTTTATTGAATGTTTCTTTTGTCAGCCTTTGTGCTGAATGCTTTGTTCTCATTTGGTCCTCAAAATAGTTTTATATTGTAGACACTATTTTCCCACTCTACAGATGAAAAAACTGAGACTTCATGAGCCCAGAAGGTTTCTAGTAGGTAGAAGAGCTGGAATTGGAATCCCAAACACGTCTTCCAAGTCTGTGTTCTTGACCACCATGCCTCCACTGAGTGGCTCCTGATCAACTCTAGAATGAAGTCCTTTTCGTCAGTGTTGCCTTTCAGAACTCCATTATTTAGCCTCAGTGCTCTTTCTCAAATTTAATTCTTGTTTTATTCAAACTTGTGTTTACATTCTTTCTGGAACAGAAGGAATGTAAACTCTTGGTTTCTTATGCATCTCCACTTGGAATTTTCTCCCTTTCCTATCTCTGCCTTCTGAAGTCCTTTAAATAAAAGGCTAGCTTATACACAGTATTTCCCTAGAGCCCCTTCTTTTCCATTTTCATAGTGGTAAGAGCTACTCTTATTTGTGCAGTTGCTTAACCTCTTGATGATAACTTTCTATTCTGAATTTGTTTTTGAGTGCTCTAACAGTAATTGAATTATAAAATGCCTGAAAGCA